GACTTGATTGGGGGAGGGGGAGGGAAAGGGGAGGCGGCAGTGGGGAAGAGACAGAAATCTTTAATAAATAAATAAATAAAAATTTAAAAAAAATAATAATAAAGGCAATATACAGAAAGCCAACAGACAACATCAAACTAAATGGAGAGAAACTCCCAGTTGTCCCACTGAAATCAGGAACAAGACAAGGTTCTCCACTCTCTATATCTAATCAATATAGTTCTTGAGGTCCTAGCAATAAGACACCAAAAGGAGATCAAGGGGATACATTTTGGAAAAGAAGAAGTCAAACTCCCAATAATTGCTGATGATATGATAGTTTACATAAGCGACCCCCAAAATTTTCCCAAAGAACCTCTACAACTCATAAACACTTTCAGTAATGTAGCAGGATACAAGATTAACTCAAAAAATCAGTTGCCCTCCTGTACACAGATGATAAAAGGGCTGGGGAAGAAATCAGAGAATCAACACCCTTCACAATAGCCACAAATAACATAAAATATCTCGGAGTAACTCTAACTAAACAAGTGACAAGAACTTTAAATTTTTGAAGAAAGAAACTGAAGAAGACACCAGAAAGTGGAAAGATCTCCCATGGTCTCGGGAAGGCAGAATTAACATAGTAAAAATGGTAATCTTACCAAAAGCAATCTACAGATTCAGTGCAATGCCCATCAAAATCCCAGCAAAATTCTTTACAGACCTCCAAAGGACAGTACTCGACTACACATGGAAAAGCAAAAGCCGCAGGATAGCCAAAACAATCCTGTACAATAAAAGAATTTCTGGAGGCATCACAATCCCTGACTTCAAACTCTACTACAGAGCTACAGTACTGAAAACAGCTTGGTATTGGCATAAAAACAGACAGGAGGACCAATGGAACCAAATAGAAGACCCAGATATTAATCCACACATCTTCGAATGCCTGATCTTTGATAAAGAAGCAAAAAATGTCAAATGGAAAAAAGAAAGCATATTTAACAAGTGGTGCTGGCATAACTGGATATCAACATGTAGAAGAATGAAAATAGACCCATATCTATCACCATGCACAAAACTCAAGTCCAAATAAATCAAAGACCTCAACATAAAGCCAGCCACACTGAACCTTACAGAAGAGAAAGTGGGAAGTACACTTGAACACATTGGCACAGGGAACCACTTCCTAAATATAACCCCAGCAGCACAGACACTGAGAGAAACAATTAATAAATGGAACCTCCTGAAACTGAAAAGCTTCTATAAAGCAAAGAACACAGTCAAAAGACAAAATGACAGCCTACGAAATGGAAAAAGATCTTCACTAACCCCACATCAGACAGAGGTCTGAACTCCAAAATATACAAAGACCTCAAGAAATTGGACACCAAAAGATCACATAATCCAATAAAAAAAATGGAGTACAGACCTAAACAGAGAACTCAACTGAGGAATCTAAAATGGCTGAAAGACACTTAAGGAAATGTTCAACATCCTTAGTCAACAGAGAAACGCAAATCAAAACAACTGAGATTCCAGAATGGCCAAGGTCAAAAACACTGATGACAACTTAAGCTGGAGAGGTTGTGGGGTAAAGGGAACACTTCTGCATTCCTGGTGGAAATGCAAGCTAGTACAACCCGTTTGGATTTCAGTGTGGTGATTTCTCAGAAAATTAGGAAACAACCTTCCTCAAGACCCAGTAATACCACTTTTGGGTATAGATCTAAAGGATACTCGATCATGCCACAAGGACATGTACTAAACTATGTTCATAGCAGCTTTGTTTGTCATAGCCAGAACTGGAAACAACCTAAATGCCCCTTGACCAAAATTGAATAAGGAAAATGTCCTACATTTACACAATGGAATACTACACAGCAGAAAAAAATAACATCTTAAATTGTGCAGGAGAATGGATAGAGCTAGAAAACATTATTTTGAATGAGGTACCCCAGACCCAGAAAGACAATTATCACATGTACTCACTCATAGGTGGTTTTTAAACATAAAGCAAAAAAAGCCAGCCTACGAAGCACAATCCCAGAGAACTTGGACAACAATGTGGACACTGAGAGAGACTTACATAGATCTAATCTGCATGGGAAGTAGAGAGTAGAAAAGACAAGATCTCCTGAGTAAATTGGGAGCATGGGGACCTTGGGGGAGGATTGGAGGGGAGAGAAGAGAGACAGGGAGGGGAGCAGAGAAAAACGTATAGCTCAATAAATATCAATTTTTAAATAGCAGATTATCATTTGATGGAAATTTATGCTGGCCATATACAAGTAAGCCTGTTTGTTTTTGTTTGAGCTTCTTGTTTGTAGATGTGGCCACATATGACAGTCACCGTGGGGTTTCACACACATACTAGTGCCTGTTCCCATTGCCCATGACTTCAGAGGCGGTCAAGGCAAGTCCCAGTTGTTTCATGTCTGTGTATGTGCATGTGCGCATGCACACAGGTGCAAGTGTGTTTGTGTGTACAGGTGTGAATATGTGCCTTCCCATGTGTGTTGAAGCCAGAGATCAACATCAGGTCATTCTTGACTTTTTCTTTCCTTTCCTTCTTTTTTCTTGCTTTTAGTCAGACTCTCTAGCCAGTGAGTCCCTGGAGTTTTCCTGCTGCCACCACTGGGAACACACACACACACACACACTCACACAAGAAAGTACTGCTATGCTGCCCAGGCTGAGGCTCTCAAGTGTACAGGCATGTACCACCACACTACTGAGACTCAGGCCTCTATTGAGCTTGTCATGGCTGGGTCCTACATTTCCCCCTTCACAAGTACCAATGACAGGACCCAATTATAGGTCCTGCTTGCCCACAGGTTTAAGGAGATAGCATTGGGACCTAAGAACCAATAATTAGCTACTTCCTGTAGGAATTGCACAATGGCCAGCTCAGTCTCCCTTCGCACTTAGGGCTAATCCAACACCAAAATGGTTCAGCTGAGGTCGTTACCCTATCTTGTAAGTCAATGTCTCCTTCTCTTCAGTCTTGCTTCTCTTCCTTCTCTCTTGACCCCCAAAACACCCCTCAATGGGGTTTCCTTACATGCAGCCCTTTGTTTACTGTTGATAGAAACTGAGGCCAATTGATGCCAATGGTGATCCATGACAGATGTCAAGATGTTGGAGGACCTAAGGTCTGGCTAGCAAGAAGATGCCATCATTGTTAATACTGCCCACACCAAGAAGTAGAACTCTTCCAGCTTTGCTGATGTTGCATTAGAACGTACTAAAGGAAAGAAATGGGTTGCTAGCTAGTGCAATATCTTAGATATTTGAGGTTGTTTGTTGTATTGGTTACTGTTCCTTTGTTCTTCTGTTTCTGCCATTTTGTTTTATTTTAGATAGTCTGGCTTCAAAATTAATAACTGAGGGGGAGCTGGAGAGATGGCTCAGTGGTTAAGTGTACTGACTGCTCTTCCAGAGGACCAGGGTTCAATTCCCAGCACCCACATGGCAGCTCACAACTGTCTGAAGATCCAGTTGCAGGGGATCTGACACCTTCAAACCAATGTACATAAAATAAAGTTAAATAAACCATAAAAAATATTTTTTAAAAATTAATAACTGAGGATGAGTACTGGGATTACAGGAGTGGTCTTTAAAAGACTTTGAGTGTCCTGGCTTATCTTGACTAAAGCTCTGAGAAAAAAATAAGGAAAAACAGAAAATGATTAACCAGAAATTAAATCTATGTGTGAATTCAGAGAGTGTTCAGGGTTGTGGGTCCCTGTAGTCAAAGGTAAATAAAACTGAGAACAGGGATCTCACCAGTGATATAGCTGTGCAGAGAAGTCAATTTCCCAGCAGAAAATGGTTGTTAAGTGCTTGCTCTTTAAATGCCAATTTGGTAAGATCTTCCTTTTAATTAGAATGTTTGATTCATTAATATTTAAAGTAATCATTGACATTAACAGATTCAGATCTCTCATCTTATTATCTGTTTCCCCATTTGGTTTGTTTGTTTGTTTGTTTGTTTGTTTTGAAAGGCGAGATTTCCCTGTGTAACCCTGGCTGTCCTAGAACTCTCTGCAGCCCAGGCTGGCCTCAAACTCACAGAGATCTGCCTGAATCTACCCCCCAGGTGCTGTAATTAAAGGTGTACACCACCACAGCCCAGCCCCAGCTAGCTTCTTACTACTTTTGTTTCTTCTTCCTTTTTTGCTTTGCTTTATTTATTTATTTTTTTAGATAGGTTGACCTCAAACTCAAACACAACTGAGGATGACCTTGAACTTCTGATTCTCCTTTAGTGCTGGCTTACTGGCAAAGCGCGGCCCCCTGTAGGCTATGCTAGAGTTTGAAACCAGGGCTTCTGCATGTATACTAAGCAAACATTCCAGTGTACCTCTGCACTGTTTATATTGGGCTAAGAATCAAGGCTAGGACTTTCTACCTGCTAGGTAAGGCCCCTGCTAAAGGAGCTATATTCTGAAACTCATGCCTTTATTTTACATTTCTATCTTCATTACTTATTAGCTTTTACTTACAGGTTTTGCCTTTTTATTTAGTAGTTATTGAGATTCATATATGCACTCTTTTCCGTTCCCTTTCCTTCTTTTTGGAAGCAGGGTCTTAATAAAGGATGACCTAGTATAAGTAGCCCACCCACACCAGCTTCAAATTTGCAGTAATCCTCATGCCTCTGCATCCTGAGTACTGGGATGGCACCAGCCAGCCATTCTCCACACAGTCTTCTAGTACAGGTGGGTCTGGTTTCTAGTTATCTGTCTTTCTCATTGGCTTCCATTCCTTCCCTCACTCTGTTTTGAAGTCTTGGTTCACAGTTTCTAAAGCCAGAGTAGCCTGGAGGCTTTTCTATCAGAGTTCCAACCACTAGTCATACTGTGACTGCAACCTGCTGTTTCTGAGTAAAGCTACACACACCCTTTGTAGAACTTTGGTTTCTGTTTTGATTTCCTTTTCAAAACTGTGGTTGATCTCTGGAGCCTTTGTTAGCCTCTAGGCAGATACTTTTAGGGGTAAACATCCATGCTTCAGAGGTAGGGTATAGGGAGAGGAAAGACAGCTGCCCCAGTAAAGGGCTGCTTATGGAACCTTCAAAACTGTCATTGTTATTTCAGGTAACAGCCTCCCAAGAAACAAGGAGCCAACTAAAAATAGCTGGTTCATTTGGATTTACTCTTTTTATGAATTATAGGATAAACTTTGCACATTATAATACTAAATTCTCCACCCAGAGGCTTTCCTGTCTGCCTGAGTGTGTGTGTGAGAGAGAGAGGGGGACATAGAATTGTTATTATCACATCTATTCATTTTTTGAGGGGTGTGTGCGATTATGTGTTGTGTGCCACAGCAAGTGTCTGGAGCTCAGAGGACAGCTTGCAGGGGTCAGTGCTCTCCTTCCATCATGAGGGTCTTGGGACTCTAACTCGCTTCCTCAGGCTTGGCAGCAAGAGCCTCTCCACAACTGAGCCATCTCCCCAGACCTCTGCCGTTGTTTTGAACAGGTTATATGAGTTCAATCTGAGCATTCTCAGGAATGTGCTCAATTCTGAACGTGATGATGGATTTTTCCAATATATAATCCAATATGAGGGTGTATATTTTTCTCCAATAAAAGCCTGTTCCTGCCAGGCCGATGGCACAGGCCTGTGATCTCAGCACTGGGAGGCTGGAGCAGTAGGAGCAAGAGAGGAAGGCCAGCCTAGGAATCATAGTGACACATTCTCCTAAGAACAACTCAGTCCATAGAGACCTTTGAACTCCGGAGTCTATCTTTCTTGCTTGCTGCCCTTTGTCCATTCTTTATGGAGATAGGCTTTTGTTTATCTATCCCAGGCTAGCCTGGACTCACTATACAGTTAGTCTTAGTTTTGTCTCAAACTCACATCAATTCTCTTGCCTCAGTCTCCCAAGCACTGGGATATTAGTATGCACCATCACATCCAAGCCTCCTTTCATTCTCAACTCCCCAACTCCCATATTTGGAGACAAGAGTCTTACTGTGTAACTCTGGCTGTTCTGGAGCTCACTACATAAACCAGGCTGGCCTTGAACTCATGAGGATCCATTTGCCTTTGCCTCCTGAGTGCTGGAATTAAAAGCATGGGCCATTATGTTCCACCTCTAATACATGTATAGTCTGTGTTTTAACCATAGTCAACTTTTATCCTCTCTTATCCCACTCCCACTGAACCCCTTCTTTACAACAAGCCTTCCTCCTAATTTCATGTCTTACCATTCTTTCAGTGACATTGTGTGACACTGTTCCTAGGGAAATAAGAACAAGTATCTCCTCACACCAATTAGAGAACTGATGACAGATCAAAGAATACCCAGGTCCAACTTGGCAAACCAATGAGTTTTACTGGGGCTACTTAGAGAAGTGTGGGTGAGGGACACTTATAGGAGCAGAAATAACTCACAAATAAAGCCCATGCCAACGTGGGATACCCTTCTATAAAGCTGGAAACCTTAAACACCGCACAACTTGCAGGCAGCCGGACAGTTGGAGTGGGTCTCTTTCCAGGTAACCAAGCCTCTTCTGGGCTGTTCAGCTATCTGAGAGCACCTCTTAGTAGTTCTTACTGTTTTAAAATGCTTGGGGAGGGAGGAACTGTAGTGATATATTGTTTGTATTTCAATAAGTAAATCTTGCCTGAAGCCCAGAGGCAAAGCTAAAGTCACTAGAGGTCAGGGAATAGAGACACACACCTTTAATCCTAGGATTTGGGAGAGTCGGGTGGATCTCTGTGAGTTCAAGGCCACCCTGGGCTGTGGGCACTGCAGGAACAAACCCAGGCGGTGGATTTGTTTAATCCCAGTCCTAGGGAATTAGACACCTTTAATTCCAGCACTAGAGAGAATATAAAATGGAAGGGGAGAGAGGCTGTCTGCCTAGTTTACGGTCACTCAGCCTTGGTAGAGATCAGACTTCTCTAGTGGCTTGGTTGCTTTGCTATTCTGGTTTTGGGGTTGAACCCCAATTTCTGTCTCTGGGTTTTTGTTATTGGTGCTACAAGGGACCTAGTGGATCTGGTCAAGTGACCTGAAACCTTTGAGTTGTTTACTTCCTGAACTTAAGGAGCTACCTCCAAAATAGGTTTAATTTGGAGGAAATGGCTTCCAAAGAGTGACCCACTGAGCTTTGACAGGATTTCCGAAAGGTGCATGAATACCTAACTGTAGCTCCACCTCAGGGGCTGGAGAGATGACTCCGTGGTTAAAAGCACATACTGCTGTTGCAGAGGCCCTGGGTTTGAGTCCCAGCAACCATATCAGATGGTTTACAACTGTTAAGGCAGCATCTTGTACTGACACCTGCTTTTTTATTTGGTTCTCCAACGGGTGCAGACACTTGAAGCACCCCATCTTTGATCGTGTAAGTCAACCTAACTAATCCTTAATAATTTTATAAAGTCTAATGGTTCTATTCCTCAGAGAGTCCTAACGACGTACCTGGTAAACAAAGGTCCCATTGCCCAAGTCACAGAGGAGTCTAAGGCAGAAGCATAGAAAGTTCAAAGCCAGCGGGGGCAACTTAATGAGACGGTCTCAAAGTAAAACATGGCTAAGCATGAAAGACTTAACATCATACACGACCAGGTGGAGACAAAGGATCAAGAGTTCAAGGCCAGCCTTGGCCACTACAGAGGCTAGTATTAGCCTTGTGAGACCCTGTCTCAAAATTCCAAGCCTAAACCACCAACAATAAAACCCTCCTTCTAAACATTAAGATGGGCGGGGATGTGGCTTAGTGCACTAGGCTCAACTCAGGTTACACATACAGGGAAAACAGAAAATTAGAACATTTGGCCACTCTAAATAGGATTAAGGACACCATGCTGAGCTCTACGAGTCTTCTGGCCCTCTCGGTTGTCTTTGCAGAAATCACTGGAGTCAGCCTAGGTCTCCCTTTGCGTCCCCAAACTAAGAAATGGCTAGAAAGCCTGGTTTGAAAACTCTGACAGCAGAAGGAACCCAGCACCCTTACAGAGCCTATGGGGATCTGGGGCCGGGCGGACGCAGATGCAAGGGTCAGTCAGTGAAGGATGGAGAAAGAAGGAGTCTCGGAGACCTACCTCGTCACCCACTTCCTGGGCACAAAATACGGAAATGGCAACCGCGGGCTACGCCACGCTGACCCGCTAGTCAGTGCCCGGTTGCGGGCACGTGGGCCGGAGCACGCGGAGACGCAAACGGAAGGGGGTGGGCGGGCGTGTGGGTGAGGCCTCCGGCGCGCGATGCGAGCGTAAGCAGAGGGTGTGGGCGGGGCCTCAGGGAGACCACGGGTGTGAGGGTGGAGCGTGTGGGCGGGGCAACCGGCACAAGCTGCAGGAGGGGTGGGAGCCAGCGGGCGGGGGGGGGGTCCTCCTGCGCGCGCCGTGGGCGGAGCCTCGGCCGCGTGCTGCGTGGGGGGGGGGGGAGAGTGTTGGCGGCGGGCTGGTGTGGGCGGGGCCTCCAGCGCGCCTGGGGCGGGGGCGGGACGTGTGGGCGGTGCCTCCCGGTGCTCCCGGGCTTCGGGGGCGGCGGTGGTGGCCGCGGCGACGACGAGGACGACGAGAGTGGGGCTACGCACAGAGGGGCGCCTCGGCCATGACTGCGGAGCTGCAGCAGGACGACGCGGCTGGGGCGGCGGACGGCCATGGCTCGGTGAGCGGCGGGTGAGGGTAGCGGGGCCCGAGCTCCGGCCGAGAGGGGCGCGGCGGGCCAAGCGGGCGCGAGCCGGCGGAGGCCGGGGCCTGGTGGGGTGAGGGCGGGAGCACCCCCCTCGGGCCGCCGGAGACTTGCGAAGCTGGGGTCGCGCGCCGGTGTGAGGTTGCCTGGATGTGTGTGCCAGCTCAGGTTCCAGGTGGGACCCGGTGCGGGACCCGCTGCTGGGGACCCTACCGGGAGGGGTTGCACATGAGGTCGTGGGCATCGGGGTCACCCCGAAGTGTGCGCCCGGCCAGACCCAGCAGCTACAAACTTCCGAAAAGCTCGGCCGCGATGGCTGATTCTGATTCTCAATCAGTTTTATGGCTGTGGCTTCCCGGAGGCTTAAGCGGACTCAAGTTATCTCACTTAAAGCCGGCGTTTATCAACAAAGTGCAAAAAAGACCTGGAGCCTCACTCCTCCCTCTTCCCGCCCCGCTTTCCGTTCATTCCTTCCTTTTCTTTTGGAAACAAATCAGCTTCCCCTATTATCTCATTGATCACTAGATTTTGAAGGAGGCGGAGAGGAACGGCACAGTGAATAAAAAGGCACACCTATTAGGTTCCTAATATTTAAGAAGGTTGAAAAACATTACGAGGGCCTTTTGGCTAAGATGGTGAGGGTTCAAAAACACTGGTTTGGAGAACATTGAAAGACTAACATAATAATGTCTCTTGAAACTTGGGAGGTGGGCAATTTCATATTGTGTTACAAAGTAACACTACATCCTCATCCCTCAGGAACTGCACTTTTAAAAGGCAGAATGGAAAAATCTGTACCAAGTATTTAAATACTGTGCTTTCAAGCGAGAAAATTCATAGACTGTTTAGAATACGAAAGTCGGTGACTGCTAAGAGACCCCTTATATCTTAGTTTTAATTTAATTAATTTAACGTGATGGAGCTCAAGCCTGGGGCCTATCACATGGAGTGGGCAAGAACTACACTCCCAGACAAGGAGTTTAAAATGTAGAAGGCTCTTTAAAATTCATGCAGAAAAAAAGGTATCTTTAAGACTTGGGCTGGGAAATGAAAGTAGGTGGCTGGTTTTTCTGTGATGAGATAAAATTGTATTGCTAGATATTCACTGCTGTCTTTTTGGTTACTGGGGTTCATATTTTTCTGGTTTTTTTTTTTCTGTTTGTTTGTTTGATTTTGCAATGAATAAGTCTACTTGTTTTGGGGACAGTGGCTTAAAAACAGGTGGTGAGATTTGGTTTTGAGACAGTCATATTGATACTATTTTAAGGGAGAGCAAGTCATATTTAAATTTGTTCCGGACTCCGTCAGTCATTTAAGACCGCATGGCTTTTAATCAGTGGCATCTTCGTTTACCTCTGCCACAGTCTGAGTAGTGACCCCTATTTCAGCACTCCTTATTTGAGGGTTTGTATGTGAGGTGTTTGATGAGCATTGTGTATAGTCATAGCTATTTTGGGAAGGCTTGGCACTCCCAGGCTGTGGCTGGCTGCAGTTGCCTGATGCCTGGCGACCTACAGTGATGACATTTACTGGTATTCCCAGAGATTTTGCCCCAGCTGACAGATGATAAGCTTTGAATGCTTGGTAACTGTTGCCTTTTTGCTCAGGCTGGGATAAGGTGCTTGAAGGCACGGGCTGGGATGAAGGAACTTAAAGTGTGGAGCATAACTTTTATATTTCGGGAGAGTATTAATAACTTCTTCCTCTTGGTAAGTTCTATGTAGGATGGATTCTTTTCTTTTGCATTCATGGAGGCATTCTGCCTTCCCTTAAAAGATCTTGAACGGAGTTGAGAGGAACTATCTTCCCCCGGACACTCAGGAGCTATTTAAAACTTAGCATGCTTTCCCTCCCTTCCCCAGCTGGTCATCTGTACAAAGGACAGATAAAACCGTGTATAGGCTCTCCACCATTTTAGTGAGTGAAAAATAGAGTTCTCTGCAAATGTGCTCTGGGATCTGAGTAGACACTCCGAGGTCTCTCTATCCCCTAGATGGTGAGTTAAGAACAGCTTCCTGTATTTTAATCAATTCTCAACTTAGATAAGAACCAGCAGGAAAGTTTACTGTTAGGGTAGGATAAGCAGCTTGATGTCAGTTTGCTTCTTAGGAACCCATCGCCCTTGGCAGCAGCATCTCAGCTTCAGTCCACACATTCCCCTCCCCTTCTCTCCCACCTGGAACCCAGGGCCTTGTGCATTCTAGGCCAGCACTCCATCAGGCAGCCTTTTTGCTTTGTTGCACTTGCTGTCTCTGTCCTTTACTTCATGGTGTTTGTAGTTTTTGAGACCAAGGCTGGCCTGGAACTTGAGGCAGTCATTCTGCCTTGGTCTCTCTGGTGCTGGGTTAGAGATGTGAGCCACTGCACTCAGCTCCTTTTATGTTGTAACCTAGCTCCACCACTCTGCTCTTTCAACCCGGGTCATGCACACACAGAGAGCACTATCCTGAGCACGTTAACAGATAACTCATATCAGGTAGGAGCTGTGTGTTCTGTTTCATCAAAATAACTTTGTGTGTGTGTGTTTTTGAGATTGACTTTCTTGTAGCCCTGACTGACCTCCAAACTTTGTGAGGGAGGATGACCTTGAACTCTTGATGCTCCTGTGTCTTATCTTCTAACTGCTGGGATTATAGGCTTGTGCCACAGAGTCTTGTAATCAGAGAAATTTGAAACAATGCTAACAATACAAGTAACAGCTAACTCACATTCTTTCTCTCCGCCTCCTCCTCCCCCTTTAGCCCAGGCTGGCCTAGAACTCTTAACTGTCCTCCTGAGTTCTGGGATTACAAACTTTTGCCAATCATATCCAGGTCAAAGTTCCAGCCTCCCCCAGTCCCCTACGGGGTTCTCGCTTTCCACCTTGTTTTCCACCCTGCACTCTGAGGGATTCTTTACCTCCCTGCCTTCTGTAGGTGCGAGTGCCGGGATGACAGGGGCTCTTGTTGTGTGTCCAGCTTTTATATGGATTCTTGGGAATCAAACTCAGGCCCTTATGCTTGTGTGGTGAGTGTTTTTACCACTGAGCCATCTCACGCACCCTTAAAAAAAAAGATTGACTTGTTTATTTTTACTTACGTGTGTTAGTATGTGCCTGCGTGTGTTTATGTGTACCATGTCTGTGCAGAGAAAGAGGGTACCAGATCTCTTAGAACTGGAGTTAGAGAGGGTCGTGAGCCAACTGATGTAGGTGCTGAGAACTGAACCCAGATCCTCCTCTGCAGGAGCAGTGAGTGCTCTTAACTCCAAAGCCATCTCCCTAGCTCTCACTTTTTGAGGAGATGACAAGTTTGGTTGTGTTGTTGTTGTTTGTAGCCCAAACTGGATGGCTCCACCATCGTCATGCCTCCTCTTCTGAATTACTGGTGTCTCAGCTGTGCCACCGTATCCCAACCCTTTTGTTTTTTGAGAGCATGCATAGTCCTCACTTTATAGCCCTGGCTTGCCCTGCCTTCTGATGCTGGGATTAAAGGCATATGCCACCACACCCAACCTCCTTATATTCTTATACTTGATGGCTTTTGCTGTTGTTTGCTCTTTCCATGCAGCCCAGGCCAGCCTTGAACTTGGAACAATTTTCCTGCTTCAGTTTCCTGAGTGCTGGAATTGTGTTTTCACTTTCCAGCAACAGAGCATTTTCTGTCAGGGCAGCTTTACTCCAAACTGAGGCTTTTGTTTGCTTTGTTTGAGGTAGTCTCATAGTGTAGCCCTGGCTGGCCTGGAACTTGCTGTGTAGGCCAGAGTGGCCTTGAACTTATAGAGATCTGCTTGTATCTGTCTCCCAAATGTTGGTATTAATAGGAATGTGCCACCATGCTTGTCTCATTTTAGTATCTTTATTTTATTTGTGTGTTTGTGGTGTTGGGATTCAAACCCTGGCTTCCAGCATGCTAGGGCAAGCCTTTTACCCCCACCTCTGTCCCCATTCTCATTCTGTATTTTTCTTCCCTCCTACTGTGTGTGTGTGTTTCTATTTTGAGACAGATTCTTGATATATAGCTTTCGAACCTTTGGTGATCTTCCTACCTCTGCGTCCCAGATACTAGCTAGCACTGCGGCTGTGCCCCACCACACTCAGATCTGTCCCATGGCCTCTCTTTCCCGCCTCTCCTCACCCCTTTTTTCTATTTGCTGTTCGGTTTTGGATTGCTATCCTGTATCCTTGATCTCCTGGCCTTGATCTTCCCACATAGTTGAGGATGCTGAGGATGACTTTGAACTTATGATCCTTTTGCCTCTACCTCCCAAGTACTTGGATTATGGGTGTGTACCACACTTGGATCCCCTTGTTCTTGTAAAACCTTTTCTAGAACTCTTCCAGTGGTTTAAACTTTTAAAAGATTAGTATATTTTTTGTATTATTTTTATGGGGGGGGGAGGGTAGGGAGGAGCATGGGTACCCACGTAGAGGTCAGAAGACAACTTGTAGGAGTTGGTTCTCTCCTTCCAGAGTGGCTGCTAGGGATTGGGCTAGTGGTCAGGAGGTGGTGTACTTATTTCACCAGCTCCACATCTCAGTATTTCGTTTTCTCTAATCCTCAGAGCTTGCTGATATC